CCATTGCTGTATTCCAAAAGAAGAACTTCATGCCTGCTGTCAAATATTGTGGCGAGAGTATCTTCTTTTGGGGCAGCTTTGCTGCTTCAGGTCCTGGATGCCATCTCTGACAGAAACATAAATTTAGCATTGTTCACAACTGATAACAGCAGTGTTTTTACTATTACTATTAAATTTGACTATTTACAAGAATTAAATACATTAATTGTATAATAAGAAAACTTATTAACCAGTTTGAAGAACATATAATTGGTTGCAAACAAGAACAAGATGCTCAGATCTACAAGAATAACATGTCCTTTAACATTGAAAGTCATAACTCTCGGGTTCACTTGGGTATGCGCCCTCGCCACTGCCACCTCAGGTTGGCCCCCCCACCGCTGGGGACTCAAACCCGGGCCTCCAGCATCACTCAACAGGGACCCAGCCAGTTGAGCTAAAGGGAAATCTCCTGTCAGCCCGGCGGCTAAGGTACCTGCTGCTCACAGGGAAGGGCGGTGACGTCACCGCGCTGGTAAGCCGGCTCGCACAACCTGCAAAGTCGGCCATATGTGTTACAATAGGAACATTTATTACAGTTAATAATAACATTAACAACAATAAATAACGATAAACAAGATCTGTTACTTCAAAATTATAGCAAATCATAACTTAGAAATTACTGCATTGAAACCTTTGCAGAAAGAAATTGTAGAAATAAATATGTAATTAATAAATAAGTGCACTTAATAACAAGGGAGGGGAGATCAGGAAGTCTGAGCAGATGGGAAAAGTTTATAAAAAACGATCAAGAAATCAGTTTGGCTAGATTTCGGAAGGAAAAAACATCAATTACATTTTCATACGATAGTATTGGACTAACTGCGTGATTGATGCTCATGATGGCCAGTTCACTGAGTCGTTCTTATGCCATGCCTGAACTCTGGTATGTTTCTATCAACTTGAGCTATGAAAAGCTCTCTGCACCCGCTCACTAGGAAAGTCACTGCAACCGGAAGGGATACTTATTAACCAGTTTGAAGAACACATACTGTAATAGGTTTTACAAACCCCTATTTAATAAAAATGAGGATAAACTGCAAGGAAAACAATGTTTTAATGCAGATTACATATAATGTACTGTACATTTTCCTTCACCGTTTTGTTTGGCTGTGCAGTGTCGATTTTTAGCCAGGACTCCCATACGGGCCATACAGTATGTACAGTACACAATTGTGGGAAATGTGTTAATTTCTAGCGAAACACCGCCAGTAGTCTACGTGTCTTGGTTGAAAATGTGGGTTTTTACCAATCGCTAGTTACATGGACCTGACAGACTCACAATCAAATTTAATACAAATGCATTATTAAAGTGACTTGATTTGGCATACCTCTGTTTTGAGATCTATCCCGCTCTTCCTTTCGCGCTACAGAAGCCTATTACGTACTCGATTATGATTGGTCAGTTTTTCATCGGGCTTTCATTAGGATAACAGCTAAAGAAAGGTAACAGCTAAAGAAAGAGATGCTATAGTGAATTTTTCGTTCATATTTGAACATGGTAGTTTATAAATGTGTTGTACATTGAAGGGGAAGTCAGCAGCTATATCACCCTGCAGCTCTCAACTGGCTACCCACTGAAGCTAAGATGGGTTGAGCCTGGCCAGTACCTGAATGAGAGACCTCCTGGGAAGTTATGGTTGCTGCTGGAAGTGATGTTAGTGGGACCAGCAGAGGGCACTCACCCTGTGGTCTGTGTGGGTCCTAATACCCCTGTATAGTGGAGGGGACACTATACTGAAGAGGGTGCCGTCTTTCGGATGAGACGTTAAACCGAGGTCCTGATTCTGATTCAGGTCGTTAAAGATCCCCAGGCATTTTTCGTCAGGAGTAGGAAGTTATCCTGCTGTCCTGGCCAAATTTCCCCCCTCGGCCTTTACCATGGCTTCCAAATTGTCCCCATTTATGATTGGCTTGCACTTGCCCTGTGTTGGACTGGCGCCCTGTCCAGGGTGTACCCCGCCTTGCGCTCATTGCTTGCTGGGTAGGCTTCCCATGACGTTGTATGGTATAAAGCTGTTTGACAAACGACATCATGACATGACATTGAGGGGGGCCATTGAGGGGGCCCCCTAGCGGCCTCGGAGCCCTAGGCAGTCAACTAGTTCGCATATACCAGGGGCCAGCCCTGTTGAGGATTGAAGTCTAGGGTTAGGGTTGAAGTGAATAATACTGTAAGATAATCATCCTAAACATACATGCAAATCTACAACAGAATGAAAGAAGACAAAAAATTGCATTTTGGATTGGTCAAGTAAAAGTCCTAAACCACATTGAAATATTTCAACGGGATGTGGAGTGAACTATTCAGTCGATGAAGCCCTCAAATATCACCTTGAAGCAGTTCTGTAAGGAAGAATGTGCCATGTGAAAGACTGATGAACAGTTCCAAGAAAGGTCTAATGATATTTGAAGTTGTATTTCTATGTTAAATAGTATAATATATGTTATGTCTTTGTGCTATATGTTTAATCAGGTTATATTTGAATATTACACAAATCGTGTAATTGTGTTTTACTATACAGTATGTCTAATATATAAATATAAGAATAAAGATACATTTTTTTTCTTGGGACCATAGATGTTACTGTGATCTTTGACAAAAATATGTTTACAAATTTGATTATAAATATTATCCTGCTGCTTTTGCTTTTGCTAACAATAAAATACAGGGTGTTGTGGTTATTTTACACAGTAACTCTCCCTTTTAGATTTTGGGTAGTGGGAATATAAGTGAAGGGAGTGCTGCATTTTTGTAAACATACTTATGGGCTAAAATTGCTTTTGTTTCAGGCTCTAATATATTTTTTGAAAATCAATTATACATCTGTACAAAGATTTACACAAATGTTACAGACAGCTAAAGACAGCTACAATTAAAAGTGCAACACTAAAGTGAAAATGATCATTTTTGAAATGTATTGAAATTTACATTTCAGATCAAAAAACAAATATGGCAGTTAACATTACAGAACATCAGCTTTTATTTATTTATATGAGATTTTAGTACATAGATGTTAAACCATGCTAGAACAGTTTTTGTGTTCAGTTCTCCCAATTTCAGGGCAGCATTGGAACAAATTATCTTAAAGTAAATTAAATTAATGTAAAGTTGGTATT